GGACATGCCTCACAGTACCTCCTGAAGGTTTCCAAGGAGGGTTTCCGAGAGCCATCTGGAAACCAGCAGGATCCACTAGCCCCCGATAGCAGACCATCTGAATTGGTCCACTGCCCCTGCAGGGAGTAGGCAGCAGGCCCAACCATGCCTTCAGAAAACAGTGATCTGACCATGGCAAGAGCTGAACCTCCAGCCCCCTAATCAGATCACTGGCAAGCTGCTCGGCGCAGTAAAGGAGATCCAGTGTATGTCCTTTTTCATGTGTCAGGCCCATCACGAGTGGAGAAAGACCCATGGTTGTCATTGGTGGCCATGAATTTCTGAGGTTCACTCCAGAGCATCTCTAGTTTAAAGGATCAGGCAGCAGGTGACATTAAAAAAAATCTTCCTGTTACCTCAGATTGCTGCTGTTTATGACTGTAGACAATATTGACCAGGATTCATCATAAGGAAGCTTCCTACGTTCATGTTCCTGAGTATTTAACCATAAAAAGGACTGATTCAGACTAGGAGTGTGGTACAGGGAAAGGGATTTAATTCTTTTTCCCCATGCTGTTCTCAAATGACCACCCATTGGGGCAAAGATGTTCCTGCTATCCAGCACATAGTGGATAAGAACATAAGAACATAAGAGATGCCAATGTTGGATCAGGCCAAAGGCCCATCCAGTCCAACACTCTGTATCACACAGTGGCCAGAAATACCAGTGCCATCAGGAGGTCCACCAGTGGAGCCAGGACATTAGAAGCCCTCCCACTGTTGCCCCCCCCCCCCAAGCACCAAGATGACAGAGCATCACTTGCCCCAGAGTCCCTATCTATACCTTGTGGCTAATAGCCACTGATGGACCTCTGCTCCATATGCTTATCTAATTCTCTTTTGAAGCCGCCCACGCTTGTAGCCGCCACCGCTTCCTGTGGCAGTGAATTCCATGTGTTAATCACTCTCTGGGTGAAGAAGTACTTCCTTTTATCCGTTCTAACCCGACCGCTCAGCAATTTCATGGAGTGCCCACAAGTTCTTGTATTGTGAGAAAGGGAGAAAAGTACCTCTTTCTCTACCTGCTCTTTCCCATGCATAATCTTATAAACCTCAATCATGTCACCCCTCAGTCGTCGTTTCTCCAAGCTAAAGAGCCCTAAGCGCCTTAACCTTTCCTCATAGGGAAAGTGTTCCAACCCCTTTATCATTCGAGTTGCTCGTTTCTGCACTTTTTCCAAAGCTATAATATCCTTTTTAAGGTGTGGTGACCAGAATTGCACACAGTATTCCAGATGAGGTCGCACCATTGATTTATATAGGGGCATGATGATATTGGCTGATCTGTTTACAATACCCTTCCTAATAATCCCCAGCATAGCATTGGCCTTCTTTATTGCAGTCACACACTGTCTCGACATTTTCAGTGAGTTATCTACTACAACTAGTAGATAACTCACTGCAGGGCTCTTTTTGTAGAAAAAGCCCAGCAGGAACTCATTAGCATATTAGGCCACACCCCTGACAGCACAGCTCATTGACACATTAGGACGCAGCCCCGTGTTGCCAGAAGTGTGGTCATCCAGCCACACCCACCTTTTGCTTGTTACTCTGTTTACCTTGTTTGTTGTCAAAACCCAGAGCTTTTTTGTAGCAGGAACTCATTTGCATGTTAGACCACACACCCCTAATGTAGCCAATCCTAATGAGTTCCTGCTGTTGGGTGTGGCCTATTATGCTAATGAGTTCCTGCTGGGCGTGGCCAACTTGGGAGCCAGCCGGAACTCCGTTCCTGTGCGTTCCTGCCCAAAAATAGCCCTGGATCTGGGAAAGGGATGTTTGAGGCCAGAGAAATGGCACTGGGGGAAAGGGTCAATACTCCCTCCTCTTTCAACACTGTTGCCCCCAACTTGAATAAGAATCTCCAGGGGCTTTTATTTACACACACCCCTCCACCCAGATTTTCAAGCATCTCGTTTGTCCATCAAAAACTGCTGGGGCAGCATTTCAACCTTAACAACAAACTTAAAAGTTGCTGTATTTCAGAAAGGAAGAAACCCCCCACCCCACAAAGAACGTGTTAGTTTTTGAAGTGTCACAGGACTCTTATTTGGCTGCTGTGAATTAACACAGCTCTCTCTTCGGTATTTGCATTTAATATACTCATAAACAGCAGGAGAGAGTGCTCTCAAACTTCATTCAAACAATAATTGTGATTCTCCTTCTTGACAGTTTGAATCTTAAACACTTGGTGCTGTCATTTTCTTTGTTGAAGTGATTACTGACGTTATGGGATGTGATTTAAACCCATTAAAGCCAACATTTCCTTAGGGGTGGACTTCAATAGGATGCTTATTATATGGAAGGCATAATACCATAAGGCTGAGTTTACGTGACACTTATGGCCTAGCCCTATGGAATGTTACTCCGAAGCGAGTTAGAGGAGTTTATTCCCAAGTAGATGTGCAGCAAATGTCGTCTTAACTCAACAACTTTCTTTAGGGGCAAATAAATAGGCAGAAAATCAAACAATGCACCCATGGCATATCATGAATCATGATGATGTGCAATGTTCCCTCTTATTTTTTTCCCCTACTGAGCAGAACAGTTCACATCCTGAGCAGAACGGGACTGCTGTAACCTTAAAATGGGCCATGGGCAGGGCGAGATCTCGAATGGCTCGGGATTGCCGCCGAGTGGGGCTTCCGGTGTGAATGAGCAGTTGCTCATGTGCATGGCTTAGAAGGAGCATTGCCCTGTGCTGTGTCCGCTGACCGCCACCAGGGTCCAGCGAATACTCCCGAGTTTGACTCTGTATGAACAATGGGGACTAGGCCCCTAGTCTCTCCACTTGGGAACCAATAGGACCGTGGCGGGAGATTTGAACCCACCAATGGGACCTAGGGGGGTGTCCCCAGGTGGGTATATAGTTGGCCAGCCGGCCAGTAGTTGCTGTCTTTGTTGTGTACGAGTAAACC